GTCTGTACATAGTTTTTGAAGCAGACAGATTGAGGCCACAGGTTTTGAAAGTTACTGCTGTGTCCTCCATATTCAGACCGATCCCGGTCCGAATATATTTGGTATGCCTCTTTCCGCCACATCTCCAGATCGTTTTCGGTCCGTACATATTTTATTATTTTATTATATTATATGTTTCGGACCAATTTCGGTCCACTTATTTCAATTTTTAAATAACCATTTATATTTTTTTGTTGAAATTTTCAGACTAATTTTGGTCCGTATATTATATATATACGAATCGATTTTGTTTCGGTCTGTATATTATATTTTTTCATACCAGGTTTTTTTGGATCAACTATAGGGACCAATATCAGTTCAGATATATATATTCGGACCGATTTTTATTATATTCGGACCAAAATTTCGGTCTGAATATTCGATTCCTGCAGTAGTGACAACTAAAAACACTAGACGGAGTATTTTATTATTAAAAAGATAACAACTAATTAAAATTGAATATATATATGAATAGGGATTTATTTATATATAAGTTTTATATATTACGTTTGTATAAAATTTTAACAATTTATTTTTTCACTTTTTTTAATAATTGAGATTTACTCAAATTTATTAAGATAATTATAATTTTTACCTAAAAAATTATAAGAAATCTCAACTATTAAAAGTGTAATGATGGATGGTTAAAATTTTATATAAATATAATATATAAAACTTATATATAAATAAATTTCTCATCACTATATATATTTATTTATATGTATAACAGTTAGATGCACCGCTATTGAATGAAAGATCCTCCCCCTTATTAGGGGATTGTAATATCCCAAAATTTTGTGATATTTTAGCATTTAAGTAAGGGTTTTTGTGAGATAAAATATTATTTTGGCCCCTAATAGTGAATATTTCAAAAGTTGAGGGACTTAAAAGTGAAAGACAATTGGACAAGGATCAGCTATTTTTCCTTCTTTCTTCCCCAGCCATTTCGCGTTTCTGCTCTTCTTCTTCTTCCCCGACAAGCTGCCCAAGCCACCAATGCTCCCTCTTGAGAGAAATCGGTAAGAAGCTTGATATTTTCCCTTCTTTTCTTGTTCAAGGACAAGATTTAGGACTTAGGACACTTTCCCAAACCCAGAATTTCCAGATTTGCTCGGTGTCTCTTCCTCCCTTGTCCATCGGTTTCTACTGGGTGTGAATCCTTCGGCTTTTTCTGGTAAGATTCAGCTAAGAAATCATCTCCTTAGCCTTGATTTAACTTGGGTTCACTCTAAACTCTTTTGATTTCTTTCAATTTTGGGTAGTTTGCGTGATTGCCCCTCCAGGTTCCCGTCGGCTTCCCCAAACCCGCCAGCTCCGGCCATGCTTGCTGAATTCTGGTATGATGGCCACTTCTCTAAGTCCTAAATTAGCCATTTAATTGTTGCCATGTTGAGTTTTAATGGTTGAATTGCCGCCCTATTGTTGTCTGAATTTTCTATTGGGAATAGGAGGGGGATTCGGCAGTAAATGGGAAGAATTTATGTGTTTGAGTGTTAATTGACTGCTGTGATTTTTGGAGCAAATCCCGTGAGATTAGTTATGGTTTTGCCAATTTTTGGAAGTGTAGTTACTGTTTATTGGCACTGTTCATGCACAGATGGCCAACAATTAACGGGGATTTAAATGATTAATTTGTAATTTAAGAACAAATTTGGTGATGTCCGGTCATGTGGAGATTGATAGGAATAGCATCGTGATTAGGGGATAGTCATGGTGATTTTACTTTGGAATCCGTGGTACGGTAATTAATTTTTGGATATTTTGATTAGGTTCTTGATCGTTCTGTCAGTTTAGCATTGAGATCGAGTCTTCGGTTTTATGCGAGTGAGGTAAGTAAATTATGGTAACGCCCTCCGATTTTAAAGCACATTTTAAAAGCATGTTTTGACTTGTTTTTGAAGTGGTGGTTGGACTAAACCCGTTTTATACAAAAGTAAGTATGATTGATTTGAAGTGAAAATTTTATGCTTTTCATTAAATTGAGCATGTCTACTTGAAATTTAATTGATTGTCCTGATGATTTGAAAGTGATTGGTGAATTATGATTTCTCTGTTAACTTCTGCATGTTTTGTCTCTGATGTGGTTATGTTATTGATGATCCTGCTAGTGGGGGTTAAACGCTAGCACATGTCGACATGTTATTGATAGAACTGATTCGTCGAGTGACCCTGCTAGTGAGAGTTATACACCAACAAATAGTGTAGCCTGTCAGTGGGAGGTTTAAACATTGGCTATGACCTATAGAGGAGACGTCTATTTCGTTCCCGTACTGTATCTGTTTTTTATGATTGCACTTGTTGGCATGCTATAAGTTTAATAAGGGCACTCCATATTTTACTTATTGAGTTTATCTCATAGTTTTCCTTGTACACCATTTCAGGAAGTGAAGTCAAGGACGGGGAAACCACGGGAAGTGATGAGTTAGAAGGCTAGCCACTTTGTAAATTGAACATAGATTTTAGATATAGATCATGATCTTGTAAGTTAGATTTTATTTGGAGATTTTTGATATCAAGACGATATTACCTTGAATTTATGAGATCAAAACAGATTTCGATCATTAGATCAATTACTTGGATTGAAGTCATTTTTGATATAGAAATAAATTGAGATGTCTGATTTAAGTTATTGGATTGTCAGATTGTGTTATGATAAGTTCCGAGCTTTGTGCATTTATGGGACCCTCTCACGAGTGCACGACGTTTGTTGTGCCTTGGATTCGGATTCTGGGACGTGACAGAGATCTTCTTAGATAAATAGTGACTATATTTTAGCGTACATTACAAAACACTTTTTAAAAATAATATTATTCAAAGTTAATTTTGCACTTATCAAACAACATAAAATTAAAGAAAAATCTCAATACGGTAGGACTCAAACTTGAAACATATTAGATTTATTGATAAATAATATTATTTTGTAAAATATAAATTTTAGATTCCACACTTAAAAAAAAAATTTATTTTTATTTAAATACACCATGCCCATGTATAGAATACACCCTTATGATTATTTAGGGAGGGCTTATTTCTGGTATGCGTAAAAATTGGCCGGAAAATTCCTAACCATAAATTATCAGAAAAAAAAAAAAGGGGAAACAACTGCGAGGCCACTTTTTTTCAGTAATTAAACCACGAGAGAGATAGAATGAATCTAATTAGCATGTTGAGATTCAATTGACTTTCCTACAGTTCAACCTAATTTGGCCGCTGGTGCCGATGAGAGGGCTAATGTTTGCCATTTTAATCATCGCATCCCCAAAATCTACAGCGAAAGCCTCAGAATCGTCGCTGTAACCCTCAACTTGGAGGTCCGTTGAGCCGCCACTGTAGAACTGTTGGTCAGAGTGCAATATCCCCTTTTCCATCATCATGTCCTGGTAGATGTCATTATCGAAAACTGTTGGAGTTTCTGTGTCTAAAGGAGCAAGATTGTCATCGCCCCCGGAGGCTGGACAGATTGCTCTCAATGATGCAGCATAGGAGGGATCGATGTTGTCTTCTGTGTAGATACGGCTCCGGAATATGGTACACCTAGTTTGTCCAACTGTGTGTGCACCTGAGGTAGTTATTATTTAAAACAAGATTAGATGACTCTACGGTTTCTCGGTCATAATGGGCTGACCAATCTAGATTATGAAAAGAACTAATTATCCCAAGTAAATTAACTGAGTTCGTTGGATCATTAAGGGTGTTTTGATTTTTTCATAGCCAAAATTTGGCATTTTTTACCTTGTGTGACTTGGGGAGAAAGAGTTCTCTAGAGTTATATTACATATTATTCTCAATTTTAATATTGGTTTCTTAGATGTGGGTTGTAATTTCATAATTATTTATTCAAGCTTCGAAGTGGTGCTATGTACTACTCCCTATATAACTAAATTAAAAGCATACCATTGAGAGTAACCAAATCGCTTGCACTTAATCCTTTGTTGGCGAATGCAGAGATGAGGCCACTTAGATTCAAAAATGGGGAGGGAATGTCTATGGTACCGCTGAAATTAGCAATGGTTGAATCTCTTCTGCCCAGTAAAACTGTCCAGTAAGGACCACCCAACTAAAACAACACAAAAGGAGCAAAGGTTAATTGCTTTATATATGGATATAATATATATATTTTTTTTGTTTGGTAATTTTCATTTCTAAACATCTCTTAAAATTCAAACTTGCGTTTTCAACAGAAAGGTTTAAGCTCTTGATTATAAAAATTGGGATGACCTCCAGGTGACATTTTAGAGATGATGACAGCAAGTAGATGCATATTTATTTTACTACTTACAGCGACAACAGAATCACGAGCAGCAATGGTGATAATATCAGCACAGGAAACAACACCAGGACACAAACTCTCCACTTCGGCTTTAATCCTATCAATTACATCAAATCCTCTCAGAGAATCGTTGTTTGGAGGCGCCGTTTTTTCTCCTTTCATTGTTGGTGTATCATCCAACAGCACCGATCCGTCACATCCCTGGTTTATACACACAAGCAACTAATTTCAATTTCTTTAGTTCCAAAGAAATTAAAGAACTCCCAACTTAGTTTCCAAGTAGCAATGTTTTTAAGACAACAATGTGTCCTTATTTGCAGCTTCCCCACTTTCATACAAATATTTCGTTAAAAATGTAAATATATATGTAAAAATTATGTGAAGGAAATCAATATATATTACAGTGGCTTGAACAAAGCATGATTTCTCTAAGTTTATTGAAAAATGCATGAATTTAAAAGGAAAAAAAAAATGTCCAAGTCTGAGAAAATTAAATGAGCATCATACGATGATTATATGCCTAATGCACAGATAAAATAATAATCATTGAACATAAATAATTTGAGTTGCAAAGGCAGGGTCATGTGGTTCATGTCACAAGCGAGAAAGAGATGACTTACGTTAACAAAACAGTCATGAAATTGAAGACGAAGCAAGGACGCTCCCATTCTGGATTCATTTGCCACGGCGTCTCGAACCACATTTTCAATGGCAGGAAGTGCTCCGGGGCACGTTGCATTGTAGAAATCCGGTGATAACTGAGCAGAGGCAACGCCAAAAACATACAAAAATAACCCTAATAAGGATGTAAGATTATTGTGTTTAATTTTGAAGAACATCTTTGGAGCCATGGCTAACAGCATGAAGAAATGAAGAGAAGAGAAAAAGGGTTTAGAGGAGAACAAAGTTAGAAAAATGATGATTCTAATGATGGATATAATAAGTTCCAAGATTTCAATCCTATATTTATAGAAAATTATCTGTATACTTTCGGTTTAACATATTTTCTGACATATTTTTGGTTTAATCATTAAAACTATAATATAAATACAATTGATTCAATTGGTTTTTACATTCTGTGTGTATAAATGTATCTTTAAACTTGTTTGTTTTTAATTTTAAATTAAAAAATAATGATTTTTAATTAATATGTTATGTAATGTGTTGAAACAAAATATGTACCAATTATTGTCCTTTATTTATATATGAAGATTCGGACCTTTTTTCATAGTCTAACTCAATACATACAAATTGATGGAAAAAACAATGGAGAAGTATTAGATTATATATTGGTAATAGTTGGGTCAACTAGTTAATTTAATATATTTGGAGGTAGAAACTAGGACAATTACGA